TCTGCAGCTGCCTTCCCGTCAGCGGGTGCCGGGGGGCTGCGCCGCGCGGGCAGGGCCGCGGCCGACGCTCCCTTTCCAGCCCCGCGGCTCCGTGAGGGCCGGCACAAGGTCTGTGGGTGCGGAGGAGCACAGAGCAGCACTGCCGCGTGGCCGGGAGCTCCAGCCCGGGGGGGACCCTGCGGCACTGGGGGTGCTCAGGGCACGTGGGGAGCTGCTGCTGAGTCCTGCAGGGCACTGCAGTGTCACGACGGGCACATGCTGGGGAGATGGAGGGACCGTGTCCTGATGGGCATGTGCTGGGGAAGCTCAGGTGTGACATCTCACTGTGCATGTGCCAGGGATGCAGAGGTGCTGGCAGCTTCCCTGGGCATCCTGCAGTGCTGGGACTGTCTGCGGTGGCAGAGGTGGCACCAGGGCATTGGCAATGTCACCTGGCAGCGTCAAGCGGAGCCAGCCATGACCAACGCCTTTGCTGCAGGAGGAGTGTGAGGGGCACGGAGAATCCGGGGGATACTCCGGCCTCCCCTGTGCCAGCCGTGGTGCCCACGGTGCCTGGTGCTGGTGACAACCTGTGGGGAGGTGGCTACCAGGCCACAGCATGAGGCTCTTTGTGCCCCAGGCACCCGCAGTAGCTGTGTGTTTGCTCCGGGCGCTGGTGCTGGGTTGTGTGTGCCCTGCGCTGGGTGCTGCTCCAGCCCAGCTGCCCGGGGTCCTGCGTGTGGCCGGGCCGGGCTGTTTGCACTCCCGGGCGGGTGCCTTGGGCCGAGCCTGCCAGGCCAGCCCTGACTCAGGTCCTGTGCAGACAGATAAACAAGCCATGAAAAGGGTCAGTGTCCTGGGCCGAGTCGCGGTGCTGAATCAGCCGCGGGTGGATCCCCTCTGCTCCCTCCCTGCCGCGGGTCCCGGCTGGCGCGAGGGGCTCCCGGCCCCCCAGGCCCTGGCGTGGCAGCACTCGGAGCCCTGGCAGGGTCAGAGCAGGGCTGAGGCCAGAAGGGACCTCGAGGTCCCCTAGCCCGACCCCCTGCTCAAGCAGGGCCCCTTCGAGCCCCGGGGGCTGCACATCTGCAGAGGAGGAGACTCCTCAGCCCCTCTGGGCAGCCTGGTCCTGCGCGCTGTCACCTGCACAGGCGAGAGGTTTTTCCTCCAATGCGGGTGAAACTCCCTGGGCTTCAGTTTGTGGCCGTTACCTCTTGTCATCCCTCTTGTCACCCCCTCGACCTGCTGGTAACACTTCCCGATGCGCCCCAGGGCACCACTGGCCTTCTTGGCCACGGGGGCACCCTAGCCCGGGTCCAAGTGGCACAGGGTCCCGCAGGCTGCCCGGGTCCTTCCCTGCGGACTCCAGCAGGTCCCCCCCAGCCTCAGGGCGGTTGTTCCTCCCAGGAGCAGGACCCTGCACTTGCTTTGAGCTCCGTGCGGTTCCGGGCCCAGCTCCGCACCCTGTGCGCGTCCCTCCGGATGGCAGCGGGGCGCAGGGGACATCAGCTGGAGCTCCGTATGGGTGAAGTGGCATCAGTGTAACAACAGCGTAGCAACAATGCAACAACAATGTAACAACAACCTAGCAGAAAAGTGGCAACAATGTAGTGACAGCGTAGCAACAGTGTAGCAACAATGTATCTGCAAAGTAGCAACAATGTATGATCAAAGAACCATCAAATTATCTACAGCTTATCAGCAATGAAGTGACAATGGAGCAACCTTGGCCCTGTACCAACAGCCCATGGGCGCAGTCTCAGCACGGCGCTGGCAGCACACAGCAGCTGGCAGCGCTGTGATAACATCTTGCAGCGGGCAGCAAGGGCGGGCGGGCGGCTGGGCTCCCCCGGGCTGCATCCCGCCGCGGTGCCGGATCCCGGCGCTTGCCGCGTGCCGGGGACGTGCCGGCCGCGGGGCCAGGCTGCAGCGAGGCCGGGGGAAGCGGTTCTGGGACGTGCCCAGAGCCAAATCAAG